ATGACACAGGCTCGAGTCCCGCTGGAGGCGCTGAGGAAACCAGTTCACTTGAGGCTGAAACGTCAATCCACTCGCGTCGGAATGACATCCAATGGCGTTGTGAAGTTTGCGCAAGTTGCGTTTGAGTTGGGTTTCGAGGACTGTTTTCTTTCATAATTGTTGAGCTTACTTCCATTTCGAGGAAAGTATTTGCTGAAGAGATTCGAAGCTCGATTCGACCAGAAGAAGACGAAGGCAGATTCCTTTTGACCAGCTGTCGATTGACTGTACTGGGCAGAAACGAAGAAGGTGTCGTTCTTTGCGTTCAGACCGTTTTTATTCCCAACTTCCTTACTTTTTTACCTCTTCTTTTAGAGAGAATGCACAAAGGTGAAGACAAAACATGAGAAAAGGTCTCCTTATCTCTCCTTACATCTTCACCATTCAAAAAGACATTCTTTATTAATCTAATGTCATTTTAATAAAGCCTGGTGGATAGTTATTCTCAAGAAATATTGTTTTAAACCGATTCAGTTTATTGTCACAATGCTTTCTATCGGCTGGTTTTATGCTCCGAATAATCATAGATTTTGAAACTCAAGCCTTTATTTTGTAGCAATGATTGGGGAAGAAGTTAAGTATGAAACCGGCATGTGTTGGCTTTCTATCGACATTTCTGCTTATCTTCTTACCTGCTCTGATCACTGAGACATCTAAAAAGGGTAGAGTATTGTCCATCTCCATCTCAATTGTCAACTTAATATTGCAATCAATCTGGTTAATTAAAAACAATAAATTATCAACATTATCCTTGTCATGTTGTCATATGGCAAAGTAGTCATCCATGCATTTAACTAACAGTTTTTGTGTCAATCTTACTTCTTCCATGAAGTGTTCCTCCATCCTTCACATGTCATTATTAGCCAAACTGGGAGCCAAGCAAGATCCCATTGCTAGGCCTTGCACCTGTTCATAAATCTTATTATTAAAGTTGAACTGTGTACTACTCATGGATTGATTAAGTAGTCTTAAGATTAGGCTTTTGCGCATACTGGCTTCCTCAACAATGTCTGGTGAGTCTCGATGTGGTGTCAATGTATACCGCCATCCCACTTCAGACGACTATTGAAGCACCATCACTCAGCCTGGATGAACAAGCAATTATTATTGAGGGTTCAAATCTAAGTAAAAGATCAATCTTAAGACTACTTAATCACACCATGAGTAGCACATACTTCACCTTCAACGATAGATTTTATGAACAGAATCAAGGTTTAACAATGGAATCTTGTCGGGCTCTTATTTCAGCGAATAATCACATGTCTTGACTCGCCAACTTCAAGTTGGCTGCAAAGATGATGCGCTGCTCCGACGATGTTCGTCATGACGGACGAAAGCTTAGCACCTTTTCAGCGGAATCGAAGGGCATTGCCTCGGAGACAGCGTCAGCATGAATGTTCCAGTAAAGCCAATCGACAGTTGGTCTTCTGGTGGAACCGACCTTCGAATCTTTTCACGCAACACTTCCACACGAAATGGAAGTGAGTTCAACAATTGTGAGGTCTGTTCATCTAAATTTGCATGTCAAACTGGACTATGCGTCTTTAACTCACTTTACGCGAACTGGGCCGACCAAGTTATCATCCAAGAATGGTACCAAAAGGGTGGGCAATTCGTCTCCGTGACCGAACGAGGCTCTACCTCAATGGCTGCCTAAGCCGAGGCTTCGCTCTCGGGCTCAACCGCAACTGATTGATTAGAATCCGCCGTCGTCTGCCAGTCAAATCAACCTATAATGCTCTCCAGCACAGACACACACACATACACAAACAAACGCAAATTTCTACTCGAAGCGAAGAGAATATTCCTCCAAAACCAGACTCTTTTGAAGTAATCTTTTCTCACTTTATACAAACACACACACACACACACACACATAAATATGTACACGTACATACTTACCAGACCAACTTGGTGCTGCCACAAAGACCACTTGTAAAGATCACTTTGGCACACTCGACTTTTGTGTCGACATGATCAGATCTCGAGACGACATCGAGCCTGCCCTCTGGACCGGCCAGACGCTGTGGACACAAATGCCTGAAGCTTTTTAAGCTGAAAGCGCCCAAGTCAAGCCTCTGCTCGCTCTTTTCCGATGCCGTCCCTTCTGCATGCAACGTGTCAGCACA